GTCTATATACATGCACAATAGAAAGTTTTTTGGGCACTGGGCTTAGTGTTTGAGTACATAACCTATGGGAAGCTCTGATCTGAAGGGAGAAAAGGATCAGGGGATTAAATGGTAAAGAGATAATACACATTAATTTTGCCTTTTTACTTTTTTGTAATTTCCTATTTATTCCAAGTATATGCATTATTTTAACAATAGAAAAGATAAAGCTTTTTATAGTTAAAAATAAAAATAGGCAGAAAATAAAAAAAGGAAAGGAAAGGCTGGTTCACATAAAATTCAGGAAAGTTATTACTTCTAAGAAAGAAGGAAGATTTAATCAGGCAGGAGACAGAGCCTCCCAAAACACTAACCACTGACTCCATGTAGTTCAGTGACAGAGGGTTTTGTCTAGCATGTTCAAGGTCCTAGATTTGATCCAGAGTGGAGACAGGAAGCAAGAGTAACCTGTGATCCTATAACTTGGATTTATAGGAGCCTGAAGCAGGACTGTTCTTGGACTACACAGCAGGCTACCATCTTTAAGTAACAAAAGCACTAGAAACCTCCTTTTTATAAAGTAAGGCAATGAGTACTGAGTACACAGGTCTTCAACTAGTGGGGATTTTTGTTTGTTTACATTGTTGCTTTTATTTGGTTGGTTGGTTTTTTGTTTTTTGAGACAAGGTTTCTCTGTGTAACAGTCCTAGCTGTCTTGGAACTCACTTTGTAAACCAGGCTGGTTTCAGAGTCAGAGATCTGCCTGCTGCTGCCTACCAAATACTGGAATTAAAAGTGTATATCACCATGCTGCCTCAACTTGTTATTCTAAATTGTGGATTTCTGTTAAATGCACCTTTATACATATAAGACATTTCATAATTTAAAACGTATGGTCAGGGTTAGGGAACCAGAATTCTAGGAAATAACCCACACTCTGCCACTTATTGGCTGTATGCCTTAAACAAAGCACGTTATTACTCTTAACATCATAGCTGTTATTTTTAGATTATGAAACAGTTAACTTTTTTTGACATTTAATGAACTGCTTAAAGTAACTAAACTACAAACATACAAACTATAGATTAATTATGGTTTCAAAATAATATAAAACAATAACTTCCTTATAAACAAACAAAAAATGCCATAATACCTCAGTGGCAGGATAACATAACCATTCTAGCTTCTGCCCATCTCTCTATGATAATGAAAACTAATATTGTTTTATTTACTACATAAAATTGTGTTAAATGCTTTCTTAGTTTATTCTGTTTAACCCACAAAACAATCTTAATGAGGTTAACTTTATTATCCTCACTTTACAGATAATCTCATTGTGTCCAAGGTCACACATCTAGTAGCTGTGAGTGAACTTCAGAATCCACACTTTAGCCCCCACATTCATTTTGCCTCATTTTTAAACAGTCTGTCCTTCCCATGCTCCCTGACATCTCCACCTTCCCTAGCACTGAGCAGGCACTAAACAATGAACATACATACGTGTGTGTGTGTGTGTGTGTGTGTGTGTGTGTGTGTGTGTGTGTGTGTGTGTGTGAAGAAATGAACTCAGCAGGGTGTTGATGGCGCAAGCCTTTGATCCCAGCACTCGGGAGCCAGAGGCAGGCAGATCTCTGTGAGTTCCAGGGCTACCTGGTTTACAGAGCTAGTTCCAGGACAGCCTCCAAAGCAATACAGAGAAACCCTGTCTCGAAACCCACTCCCCCACCCACACCCACCCCTACCCCCATCCCCTGACCCCCACCCCTGCAAAAAATAAGACATGAACTCGTTTGTCTCCTTTGACAGGCTTTGTGTACTATGAATGTTTTGTTTTGCCATTTTAACCATAGTTAAACACACAATTCAAGACCTTCAATGAATTCACAATGTTGTGCAATAATTGCCAATAAGTATAAAAAGGGTATAGGGCTTTACTGAAATCAATCCCCTTTTAAATACTGGAATCAGAATTGAGATTGAAAATCAAAACCCTTGACTCCTAAATTTGTGAACTCTTCACTTTCCTGAGGCTTCTGTCTACTGACCCCTCCTCCTGTTTTCCACCTTTCAATGGCGTCTGCTTCACTAAGCACAGGTAACCATGACTAGAGGAAAACTATCCCCCAGGACAGTTCTCCCAGGTGATTACTTCTCATTCTGAGCTTTCAAAAACTAGGACTTTAACGTCAAACAGCCCATCAGCAAATTCACAAAAGCAATGTCTAGACCCCAGAGTAAAATTATGAAGAGAAATGCCCTCATTAGTTAGATTACATTCTCACTGAATTAAGGTAAACTGTTCAAGTTTGTTCTTTTTTTCTTAGAATACAGAAAACATCCAAAACAAACAAACAAAAAAACACAATTCCAAGAATGTCTATCCCTTTTGGGAGGGAAAATTTCTGGACCCTATATAAGCATTTTTATGTGTTCAATTATGAAACCCAAGGAAAATGGCTTGTTTTGTAGCTGAACACTAAAGTTTTAACCAAAAAAAAAAAAAAAAAATTAATTCCCATTGGTATCAATCTTCTCTTCTTTCCACTTCTCATTTTCCCTCAGACTGAGCTCCAATCAACAGTCACTTCAAGTTTAACATATCACAGTTAATGCAATTAAACCAGAAAACTGTTTTCCTAAAGATGTTGCCTCTCACCCAGGCTCAATTCCCAGCACCCACACAAAGACATACATTCAGACACACCAATGCACATAAAATAAAAATAAACTAAAAAGAAAAAAAAAATGTTCCCACACTTTACATTCCTCTCTACCTTCCTTCATCAGCATTCCACCACAAGAATAAACTCATCTCTAAGCATTAAACCAAATTTCTGATGAATAGATGGAGTTTTTGTTTTTGTAGTTAATGCAACCTGCCTACATCAACATCATCCCCTTAAAAATAAAATATGGTTGTATATACTTCATTGATCCACCCCGGACAGAATTCTGATCACTTAAATTCCTTTAGGAGAAAATTCAATCTATAGAAACAGCCCAATTATTTTAAGTCTTACCAAGCAGTGTCGAAAAAGAATCAAATGAACAAACCATCTTACCCATGAATATTTATTACATTTCCATATTCCTGTCTCCTCTGTTTACATAATGGCAATGCCAAGACTCATCTCAGGATTATCAGTCTGCAATACAATGATGGGCCTAATTGCCTTGCAAACCAGGACACCGATAAATGGAGTCTTCAAGCAATCAATTTTATTGGGAAGAGGTGGGGCTTACTAACCTCTTTCTGCATAGTGCACCTTGCCTGCCTAGAAAATAAATTCAGTCTTCCTATTTTTCGGTATCATTAATCAGTTCTCAAGCAAGAATACACCCTTAACAACCTCAAGTTCATCAAAGTCCATTTAAATTACAAATTCCAGAACTAGTTTTCAGTGTACCAGAGGGAGGAGGAAAAGGAGAAGCAGAAACAGTTTCGCCTTCTCCCACCTTTCATTTGAGAGTGAGTCCCCCACCCCAAGTTTCTCTTTAGGACATAGGAATTTCAAGACACACACACACACACACACACACACACACACACACACACAAACACACACCTCTGTTAATTCTACCTTAAATGAAGGTTCTCTCAAAATTTACCCTTGGGCTGTTATTTCCAGACAATACCAAGCACAAAGGTCAAATTGACAGCAAAAGATACCCCCTAGGAGAATCTTTTAATGTACCTGCTCTGTCCTCTGTGGAAGACCCTTCTAATGACATTATTATTATTATTATTATTATTATTATTATTATTATTATTATCTCTCGCCAAAGCAACCATGGATGTTAAGTGTTCTAACCCCTAAACCTCTGTTGTGTCTTGGAGGACATCCTTTCCTAAATAAGCCAATGACTCCTTCCCTGCACTGCTCACTGGCCCTCTCCATCCTCTGGTCCGACAGTATCCAAACACTGGGTCTCCTGAGTCTTAAATCCCCCTCTGCCACCACACCACAGGTAAGCAGCTCATCACAGACATTACTTATGCTAACTGGCAGAGGGACATTTTCTTTGAGATGCCATCCCTTGCCCTTGCTCACCACCTGCCAATATTCTTTCAGTGACTCCATCTGACTAAGTATAAGTAGTCTTTCATACCCTCTGCCTCCAACTTACACCCAGGGGAGCCACCTTGCTCCCTCCAGTGACTTTAAACTCACCCTAAATCCTTCTCCACTATGCCCTCATCCCCAATTTCAATCCCTGCCCTCCTATTTGGGGCCCAACTTACAATTTACTCCCTCCTGGCAGCTTACCAACCATCTCCTGTAGTTGGAAGTCTCACCGCCCCCCCAGCCCATATTCCTCCAGCAGCCGACCCCAAGAAAACCCCAAACAAATTCTACCTCTTCTGTTCTCTCCAAACCCAAGCTATTTCCTTAAGGATCCACAAATGCCACCATCCCCAGAAGACAACAGCACACTTCAAGCTTAGGTCTCAACCCATGCCAAACCCTTCTTCACTCCCAGCTCCTCCATCACCCTTCCCCGGGTCCACCCCAAATCCCACCTTCCAGAATTAGCACTCCCCGAAGTCCCATCCAACGTTTATATCCCACTCCGCATTAAAAAGATCTCCTTAGCCCCCACCCCAGCTCTGATCCCAAGCTGTCAACTGCTTCAGGCCAACCTCAAATCATCACCTTCATTCAGTCCCCTCCCCCATTAAAAGACATCCCACTCCAGTCTCACCTTCCACCTCGCCCCAAGACAATCCCAAATTCCGCCTCATTACCCCCACCCCATGCTCCTGTCCCAGGTCTGATTATCCCTCCATGTAAAGTCGCCCCCCTCCCCCGCTCCCCTCCCTGGACCTGCTGGTGTCCCACCCTCACCCAACCCCCAGCCCGCGCTCGGACAAGTCTCCCCCACCAGCCCGCCGTTCCATCGCCACCTCGGTCCCCTCCCCCCCAGCCGGCGCGGGGGCCCCACGGCCCCCACCCTCATTCTCTCCGGCGCCACCAGCCCAAGCTCCACAGGAGCGGGCCGGGGGGCGGGGGTCTCCTCACCGGCGAGCTGCTGCAAGCGAAAACCGCGGCGGCGGCAGCTGAGGCGGCGGTGCCCTTGTCTTCTCCGGAGGCTACAGCGGCGACGCTCTCGTTCCCTCGTCCGTGTCCAGTAGGGTGGTGGATGGCGCGCAGGGACGGGAGCCTCCTCCTCCTTCTCCTCAGCTACTCGGCTCTGAATCCTCTGCAGTAGCCGCGGAGAAACCCGACAGTGGGGGAAGGGGACGCTCGGCTGCAGGCAAGAGAGGAGGAGGCAGAGGGAGAGGGCGGGGGACCGCTGAGAAGGGCGGGGGAGGAGGAGCCCGCGCGCCGTCCCGACACGTCCCACAGCCTCAGAGCTCCGGAACTACAACTCCCGGCATGCTCTGCCCCGGTCCTGCGCGGCCTGCATCTTCCAACCGCGTGCCGTTCCTGGGGCCGCACCCTCTTGGGTCACAGACAATGGAATGAAGCCGACTGTCCACGGGAGACTTTTGTAAACTCAAAGACCGCTTGAGAGGGAAGTCGGATATTTCTGCAGCCTCATCTCCATGAAACAAAACTGTCTACGTTTTTAACCTACACAAACACTCGCTTTCGCCCAAGGGACTACACCTCCCATCATGCCGCTCACAGCTGCCCTTTTTCTCCTTCCGGACCCCTCTTAGACCCGGTACTACAGTTCCCAGGAGTGTGGTCCTTGCGAAATGCTGGGACATGCAGTTCTCAGTCCTTCCTCCATGTTAAGAAAAAGAAGTGAAAGAGAGGAAAAGGGGGAGGACTATTCCAGCCCACAGAGCTTGGGCCTAGATGAGCTACATCACCTGTAATTCTGTACTCTCCTCGACATCTCCGATGTCGCTGTCTCTCCAGAACTAACACAGCAGCTGCCTCACTGTCTTCCCTGCAAATTAGAGGATGATTCTGCAACGTGAATCCTCATGTAAAAAGGACATTTGTTTACATTTACATTACTTAAAAGTATTTCATTTGCAAAAATGATCGAAAATTTTAGAAAAGAATGACCAAGGTTATTAGAGTTGATTGTTGAATAGGTGGGGAAGACGTAGATACCCATCAATACGGGCTGATTGAATAAATGGTGATACATACATACAACGTGCTAAGCAGCCATTTAAAATGCTGATAAATATATTTAGACATGGGAGGCTTTTCACAATTTGCTCTCAGAGGGGCAAATTGATTACAGAAACAGCACGATTAGACAGATTCAATTTATTTGAAGTGTGAGGATATAAAAGCATAGCTGTTTCAGGAAAGAGATTCTCCAAAATGTTATCAGTGATTATCTTTGAAAAAAGATTGCTAGGGTTCAAGTTACTCTTATTTTGTATTGCCTCGATTGTGTTTTTTTAAAAAAGCTGAAAAGCCATTTACAAAAAAAGGTATTATCTTCAAATACAATAACCTCGCTTTCCCACCTAGAAACTTTCTTTGGTCCCGTTTCCTGAATGGTGCTTTAGGACTGTGTCTTTCTGTAAACTCAGTAAATCTGCTATTTAAAAGATAGTGATGATTACTGTATTAGTTACCTCTCCGGTTGCTGAGGCAAAATACCTACCTGACAACAGCAACTTATGAAAGTAAGGAAGGGTTTTTTTTTGTTTTTTTGTTTTGCTGGGGTTTTTTGTTTGGGTTTCTGGGGGGGGGGGGGAGGGATGCCTCAAGACAGGGTTTCTCTGTGTAACATTCCTGGCTGTCCTCGAACTCACTCTAGACCAGACTGGCCTTGAACTCACAGAAATTCACCTGCCTCTGCATAAACCACCACAGCATGGATAGAAGGGTTGACTTTGACTTAGTTTCATCTTAGGGAAGAGAAGATTATTTGTCAGGTCCAAAAGTAAATTCATTCAAATGGCTACCTGTGGTGCTTATTAGCTTACCAAAGCACATTCTGACCTCCATGCTTCCTCCACATCAGAAGAACCTGTTACAGAGCTCATGCTGCCATCCTGGTTCTTCTCCAGCTTACTGACTTCCTCATCCCCACCCCAGCTTCTGATTCCCTTCTGACCCTGTTATTTTGACTGTGTTCTCTTGTTCCTTGTCTTTGCCTGCTCTTTCTCTTGCTCTCCCTATCTCCCTCTCCTCTCATGGCCAAGTCCAGTCTATTGCTTTGTCTCATTGCTCTGAATTCTTCCAGGTGCCTCTGGCTGTACTCTCCCTCATTTTGACAATAAAATTCTTCAGAGTAGCCATACCTTCGAGCAGTCATGTTTTCAGTCCATATAGATTGGCAGCAGAAGTCTTATGGGAGGGAGATGCTTGTGCTCAGTAAGCACCTTCTCCTTTCTGTTCAGTTTAGGACCCCATCCCATGGTACTGCACACATTTAGGGCGAGTCCTCCTACCTCAATGAACCTAATCTAGACAACCCCTGGGACAATTCTAAATCCCCTCAAATTAGCAAGATTAACCATCACAATTATAATTTACTAAAAAAACATAAAGGGAACAAGGAACTGTCAATTTCTCTACTCAAATTGTTTCTTTTTCTGGGCTTTCTCCCTCCACTCCGAAGTCTCACATAGCCCAGGTTGGACTGGAACTGACTGTGTATTGAAGCTGGACTTGAAAGCCTGATTCTCCAGCGCCCCTTACCAGCAGGAAGTAGTTTGGAAAGAACGACGCCCAAATTCCCAAATATTGTGTATAAATGTTTGTTTTCATTTAATTGGACTTTGTTATATAAAATTAAATAAAAAATACTCTATAAGCATAAAAAAAAAAAAAAAAAAAAGCCTGATTCTCAGTCTTCCACTCTCCAGTGCCAGAAATACAGGCATGCAATGTGTACCCAGCTTTCTCTTTCTTACTACACAGTCTCCAAACCCAAGCCAGTCATACCTTCCATAGAGTCCATTTCAGACACATTGATTTTCCTTATATCTTAATTCTTCTCGAGGTGGTTTCTATCTAATCTGTGAGCCAGAGCTCACTGTGCACAGGGTAAGCGAGCATAAGGGAGCACTATTATTGTAAAGCCATCTACTACACTCTACCCTACAAGCCATTGTCTGTGGAATGAATAAAATGTAACTGCACTTAAAAGATATTTTTCTGGCCTGGGGAGATGGCTCAACAGATTAAGGCACTACTAGTTAGGCAAGCCTGACACCCAAGTTTAATCCCCAGAAGCTACTACATAGAAAGCTTGTGTGGTGGTGAGCACCTGTGACCTGAGCGCTCATTCAGGAGGCAGAGATGGAAAACCACCCAGCAGCTCCTGAGCCCTCTAGCCTGGAGTACAAAGCACCTTGGCAGAAACATGGCCTCAAGAGGTAGAAGGGGGGGGTTGTTGGTGGGTTTTTTTTGGGGGGGGATTTGGTTGTTATTTATTTTTGTTTGTTTGCTTGCTTAATTTTTTGTTTTTGTTTTGTTTCTTTTTTTGTTTTCTTTTACTCTCTCTCTCTTTCTCTCTCTCTCTCCCTCTCTCTCTCTCTCTCTCTCTCTCTCTGTCTCTTCCCAGATAGGGTTTCCCAATGAAGAAAATAATATAAAATAAAATCAAAGTCAGGAGTAGTGGCACATATATGTATATGGCTCTAGCAGCTGGAAAGTGGAAACAAAAGAATCACGTTCAGGGTCTGCTTCCACTACATAGCAAGTTCAAGGCCAGCCTGAGCTACATGGACCCAGTCTCAAAAGAAAAACAATGAAACTTTATTTTGTTTTGTTTTTACCTATTTATTTGTGTTTATGCCTGTGAGTGTTGTATGTGCACACATGTGCCCTTGGAAGTCAAAAGAGGGTGTAGGATCTCCTGAAATGGGAGTTTACAGACAATTGTAAGCTGCTGTGTAGGTACTGGGAATTGAATTCAGGATCTCTAGAAGAACAGCCCATGTTTTTAGTCATTGAGCCATCATTCCAGCCCCCAAGACTTTCCTGTCTCTTATTTTGTAACACGTAAGGCTGAACATGGTGGCTCATACCTTTTATCCCAGCATTCAGGAGGCAGAGGCAGGCAGATCTCCAAATCTGAGGCCAGCCTGGTCTACAGGCCAAGTTACAGGATAACAAGAGCTACACAAAGAAACTCTGTCTCAAAATACAAAACAAAGTAGATAACTGGATTCCTCAAACTGCTCTTTTCTCTGTATTGATTTTTATTAATTATTGTTTCACCATTATGATATTTCTTTGTTAGTAATTATTTCCATCAAGTCTACATTTTCCTTTGTGCAATTTCAGCACTGTTGGCTTTAATTTTGTGTTATTTCTACTAAAAGGAATTTCCCCAGGGGCCAGCTTTTTAGTGTTCAGTGTTATTGACAAAGACAGGATCAGTCAGTCTGCTTTCCATCCATAGTAAATTGTACCACATGGAGATTTAGCCACTGTCCATTTTATTTTTGTTGATTATTTCTACTATATGGAATTTTTCTATAATCCTATTAAAACAAACTCAGAGTCAAAAATGACACTGTCCAAACACTATTCTTTGTGTGTCATCATCAGATTAATTTGTACTTTGCAATGAATTTGTCCTAGTAACATGATGCGCATTTTGCACCTATCTCTCAAAGCATCACTGGAAGCCTTGATACAAGGATGGGATTTGTTTCTACAACTGATCTGGGGACTGTACTGATTGTGTGGTGGAAGGATGTTTACCCTGTCATGCTCAAGGCCCTGAGTTTGAAAGTCTCTAAGGACAGGCATGGTGGCACCCACATATGGCATGTACAGTCAGTAAGACTAGGTATTCGAAGGCCAACCTTAGCTAAATGGGACATTTAAGGCCAGCCTGAATTGCATAAAACCCAATAATAATAATAATAATAATAATAATAATAATAATCATCATCTGTGTAGACATAAGAAATATGGACATTAAAGATTACATTAATAGAACTAGTATTTATTTATGACCCAACTGCTGGTTTTGGGTCTACATCTATCTATTATTTTATTAAATCCTTCAGTCTGTGCTTCCTCAGATACACCTTTTAAATTATGTGTTCATTTATTTATTTATTTGGCTTTTCAGAGTTTCTCTGTAGCTTTGGAGCCTGTTCTGGAACTTGCTCTGTAGACCAAACTGGACTTAGACTCACATAGATAAGTCTGCCTCCCAAGAGAGTGCTAGGCTTAAAGGTATATGCCACCACTGCCCAGCTAAGTTTTTAGTTTTTTAAAAAGGCTAACCATGAGAAAACACATGGATATAAAGAAAATGCTCTGAAAGAGCTTCATGAAACCAAATAGAGACAAAAGCATGGAAATATTTTATAAGACTAGGACAAATGGAAAACTGCCA